AACGCAGAGAGGTCCTACGCACATATATATATATATATGTTTATATTTATATAGTCTTTCCGACCTTCGTATACACTTGGCAATAGTCATAACATTCGCATCAAATGAAGTCTTTACGTGCAAAAAATTCTCATAGCTAATGGAAACACAACAATCAGAAACCCTGAACCCTAAACCCTAAACCCTCAACCCTAAAACCCTAAACCCTAAATCCTAAACCCTAAACCCTAAACCCTAAGGGTCACTTTCTCCAAGATCCAGAGATGCTCCAGCAGTCCGACCACTGGAACGTGCAGTCCAAAGCTGCAGAGTGGTTTAGGGTTTAGGGTTTAGGGTTTAGGAGAGTGGTTTAGGGTTTAGGGTTGAGGGTTTAGGAGAGTGGTTTAGGGTTTAGGGTTTAGGAGAGTGGTTTAGGGTTTAGGGTTTAGGGTTAAGGATTAGGCTCAGACCGTCTTCAACCAAATCGTTGCATGCCCGGGTTATCCATGCAGGACTTCATATGACAGTTCCTGCACTAAGCTAAGCATGTTCCTTGACACTACCTGACGATTCCTTTCAAGCAGGTGGCTTGCATCACAAGTTTGGTATAAATCAAAAACGATCATAAACAGGAATGTAATTTAGAACAGGGAGCCTCCTGTTCCAGACATCAAGTCCTATCCTTGAAGCCCGCCTTTTCCCCGCTAGAACGCTAAAACCTTGGAAAACCCCAGAGACCCTAAAACACAAAGCCCCAGGAACGACCAAAAACCCTCAGCTAACCCTACACCCTCAGCCCTTAGGCCGCTAACCGCCCAGAGCGTGAAAGCATCAGGAGGCCAGGGTTTTTCATGGTTCAAACTTTTGGGTTTTGGATTTAGGGTTTAGGGTTGCTTCAAGGGTTTCGTGGGTGGGGGGAGGGTCCTGTTAGCTCCTCTTCGAGATGCAGACGCTTTAGGATCTGGTTCAGGCAAATACGAACAAACAGAACGTGCGAGCATCACTGGAAAAGATAGGGGTATGGAAGAAAAGGGATATCGGTATTGCCACTAATACTTCAAGAGTACTCGCAGTCCTATTTATGCGATCTTTACAAGTGGCGATGGTCTTTGCAAGCAGTTCAGAGCATAGCCTGCTCCGAGACAGACTACTATGTGATTCGTTGGGACTTAAGGATAGTAGATCTAAGCAGCCTGTCCCCATGTGCGGTCGCATGTGTGTGTTCATGCGCGTGTCTGTGTATCGCTGCATGTATATTCTGGTGAAGGCCACTAGATCCCCGCCCTGAAGCCTGTGAGCTCGAAGCCCTTGGCCCGAAGCCTTAAACCCTAAACCCTGAATCGTTTGCCTCAGAACGAGCGACCTACACCGCGGTCGCCACACGCGCCATGGCACAGCTGAAAAGCTCGCGGCAGGTGCTTCGGCCATGAGGGTAGCGGGTTCAGGGTTTAAGCATTTATTGCTATTCGTACTATGACCATTCTGGCTATTCTTGTCAGTATTACTATTAACGTTTTAGTATTCGTATTACCATTACTATTTTTACACGTGGGAGGTTTTACATGAGGCCGTGAGGGCTTAGGACTTAGGAGTTGTGCCAGTGTGGAGCAGATCGCATGAGGAAATAAGGACCCTGTATTCCATGCCGGCTCCGGCCTTCAGAAAATACAGGGGTTGGTTGGTGGCTTGGGGTTTCTTGGTTTAGAGTTTAGGCTATTGGGGCTTTAGGGTGAATTTCACTGCAGTTTGGGCAAAGGTGTGTGCGTGTGTGCCGGTTTCACGGGAGCCAAATTTGGTTCATCGTGGTGCAGGCAAGTAGGTATTGCACCGTAACCGTAGGAGACGAAGAGATAAGAATTGCCTCGACAAACAGGTACTGCAGCAATACTGAGGCACCAAGGCCGCTACGCACCGCTACTCGTCACACTGGTAGCTATGCAGCAACCATGACAACCACATTACGACGGCTGGCAAGAATAGCGTGTCGGGTGTAACGGCTTGGATTGGGCGTGTCAGTATAGCCGCTTCACTAAACCCCGAAACCCTCAACCCTCAACCCTTAAACCCTAAACCCTCAACCCTAAACCCTAAACCCTAAACCCTTAAACCCTTAAACCCTTAAACCCTAAACCCTAAACCCTCAACCCTTAAACCCTCAACCCTAAACCCTAAACCCTTAAACCCCTAAACCCTCTACCCCAAACCCTAAACCCTCAACCCTAAACCCTAAACCCTCAAACCCTAAACCCTAAACCCTAAACCCTAAACCCTCAACCCTCAACCCTTAAACCCTTATAAACCCTAAACCCTTAAACCCTTACATAAACCCTTAAACCCTAAACCCTAAACACTAAACCCTTAAACCCTTACATAAACCCTTAAACCCTAAACCCTCAACCCTTAAACCCTCAATACCCTTAAACCCTAAACCCTCTAGGCCACAGTTTTTGCAAGTCAGGCCTGGGAGTTGGAAGGCTTGTGCTCGTGGCTCAGGGGTTGGGTTGGGGATCTAGGGTTCAGGGCCAGTTTAGGGTTCAGGGCCAGTTTAGGGGTCAGGGTTTAGGGTTTAGGGTTTAGGGTTTAGGGGTTTAGGGGTTTAGGGTTTAGGGTTTAAGGGTTTAGGGTTTTAGAGTTTAGGGTTGAGGGTTTAGGGCCAGTTTAGGGGGTTGCGGGGCTCGACTTTCTAGGCGCCGAACTCCTAAATCTTGATTCCCAAGCCCTGACGAGCTCTTGGAGTTCAAGGTGCATCTGCAGGCTGGGTTGGTAGGTTCGTGGTCCCAGGCCCATGGAGTGCTGAGCAGTTCGAGGTTCAGAGTTCAGTAAAGGAGAAGTTAGGCCGGAAGAAAGAGGATTCGGTTGAGGGTGGAGGACGAGGAATTGGGAAGAGAATGGGTGAGGTTGGGGTGATAAGGGTTCCCCAAATCCGAACCAGGCAGAAATAGCTTAAAGGGGAGCCCACATGCTAAAGCTCTTTCAAGGCCTTCCGGAAGGCACCCCCTCAACTGAAGCAGGGCAGGGTGTCAAGCACATTATAGTATATTCTGGTATGTCATAGCATCTCATAGTATGTTGTGGCATATTCTGGTATATATTCTGGTATATTTTTGTATGTTACAGTAGAATATTATATTATAGTATTGGGGTGTCCAGCTTGGATCTATGTTTGTTTGCATCCCCTCGCCCCGGCTACCCCCCCCCCCCAGTTTGGTAACCCTCATCTGAAGACTGCAGAGATTGAGGCAAGAACCTCCGGCTAGACATCGGCGAGGCAGGGCGCAACTTCATTTCAGACCTCTTCGGCAGCGAAGACAATGATCACACACTGGAAGCAGGCGTAGATCGCAGAAGCAGAAGCCCTCAGTTAGATGGAGCGTCTTCTCCCTTCGAAAGTCTACCGTCGCGACTGCCATGCTAAACCTGCGCCGAAGTGTCCGCTGAATTGCTTGGAAGCTCATCTCCACGAAAGCAAACAGGGTCTCTAATCCAAAGTGATCCGAAACTACTTGAAGCCCCGCCTCACTTGCTCGCTCATCCTGTCTTACGCCCTTTCTGCCACACTCTTCCACCGCCGACAGTGACAGGTGACGCCAGACGACGATCTCTTCACAGAGGAGTCTGGGTAATGTAGTATATTCTAGTATATCATCGTATCTTATAGTATACTATAGTAGATCATAGTATAGTATCTTATAGTATATTGTAGACTATTGTAGTATATAGAAGTATATTGAAGTATATTGTAGCATATAACAGTATATCTTAGTATATTATAGCATATTGTGGTATACAATGGTATATCACAGTACATTGTAGTGTGTTGTACTACGTTGCCTGCGAGCTGATCTCCTCTGTCGTCCCCGTAGTTCCACACGAAACCTCCCGAGCAAGATCCAGGAGATGCCGGGGCAGTCGCAGATGAGATAGCCGCAAAAAATACGCGCCGCGCACCTCTCTCCGGCTTCTCGGCACCAGCCTCCCTCTCTCTCTCTCTCTTTGGCCGTCTCTTTCACATGTCGAGTTCTGCAGCTGTCGGCCTTCATAGTGCGGCAGATCACCAGGATCAGGATTTGGAGCGCGGCTAATTCTTGACATTACGATTCAGCGTCCTGTGATCGTAGCTGCATGGGCATTCTGAACTCTGAACAAACATAGCCAACATCGACTGTAGAGCGCGATGCGGCGGTGGCTGGTCGCTCGGATGCAGCAGTTGCCAAGGGAGCCTAAGCACTCCCTGATAAACCATTACCGTCTTTCCGTCTTTTCGGATTGTGAGTACCGGCCTTACGCAAACCCAACTCAGTCATCCTCGATAAGCCTTTGCGAGAGGCCATCTGCCGGCCACATACCACGAGGGTTCTTGGCCGGTGCACTTGGCCACGAGCTCAGCTATCTCGCATTGCATATGCTCGATCGAATCAGCGGAACACCCTGAACCCTAGCACCCTGGCTGTTTCGGAAGACCTCAGTAGAGTTAAAACTTTACTTCCATGCGGGCTCCGTTTAGCCATGTCCAGCGAATGGAATCAAAAGCACCTCGAACCCGAAGCCTGAAACATCGCAGCCCTTCCCTGCACGATCCCAAGGCATCCGAGCATCGGAGTTTTTGCACAGCAGAGGCTGTTCTCCGCGCCCTTCCGTGGGCCAGTGCTGCATGCTCAGCAGGTCAAGGGGCAATAGTGATCTTCGCAACAGTTGTATTGAAGAAGAGATAGTCTCGTGTGTGATGGCATCAGCACAATGCCAGCTTGGTGATGCAATGCACGAGTATGCAACAACGTGGTAGTTTGTAAACAGTTGGACATGTTGCCGATCCATGGTTTCAACGCATGTTCAAATACACCACATGATTTCGAACCTCGATGAAGCACTGTCGAGCGGAATATTCAGACCAACATTGAAGCCATCAGAGCAGCTTCTTCCCCGACTGTTTCGTTGGCCACTTCCCCATGCGCCCGCAACGGATGCACCATCGCCCGGTTGCAAAGCGCCCACAGCAGCATTGAAATCACCCGCAACGAGAATGTAAGTGTGGTTCGACTTTCCAGGGGCCATGGATAACAAATTAATCTGTCTACTGGTTGCGAGATAACACGGTAAAGCGGTTGGTTTTGATGAAGCCATGCGAAGTTGTAACATACAAGTTCGGCAACATGGAGCATGAAAAGGTCCCGTCATCTGAGTGCAGAGCATGGGCTGTAGTTTTCCGGTGTTGAGAATCATGACTCGGCAACGCATCTACATGAAGAAACAGTTCCCATTCCTCCTGAAAGAAACGCACCAATCCCGACCACTTTCCCTGAGCTTTGGGCGCTGCGAGGCAGGGTCACATTGAGGAGCGCCTGACCTCTGAGTTGCGGCCGTTGCATCTTGAGGCCTCACTTACAGGATCATGGGACTTAGTAAGTCGGGTTAGAATTAGGGTAACTATACTTATAACCCCCAATTAAGGGACGTATAACCTTGCTTACTAAGTCCCATGATCCTCCAAGCAAGAACCGGAAATGTAAGAAACCCTAAACCCTAAACCCTAAACCCTAAACCCTAAACCCTAAACCCTAAACCGTGATCTCGGGGTTTGGGGGGGATCTGGGGTTGAGGCGTTCGTTCACGTGAGTGGTCCAGACTTGGAGCAGAGTGTGATCTGCTGGGCCCATGGGCTCATGATCCCAGGTCGTGAGCGTTTAGGTTGTAGGTCATACGATTGGTTTAGGGTTTAGGGTTTAGGGTTTCAGGTTTGGGGGTTTAGAGGCGAGCTTTGACAGGTTCAGTAGGAACATTGGGCCGCAGTTGCATCGTCGTTTGAGGGGTCTGGGGCCTTGTCCGACTCTGCATCGAAGCATAATACGGAAAATCATGCCACTTCCAGACCACATCCATGGACCCGAGTCCCATTCCCAAGTCGCAATGAGTAAAGGCACAACCTGTCGGAGCCAGGTGGTGAACGAATCGCACGGAAAGAAGAGTGATGAGTCTCACTTCCACGTGCTGATCGTCTCGGAGGCCTCTATCCCATCACTCACAGCCCCTCTGCAGCCAGTGCTCGTGCTAGTGTTCGTGTTTGTGTCAGTCTTAGTGTTAGTGCTGCTGTGAGTGTCGTCGTCGTCCTCCTCCTCCTCCTCGTCGTAATCGTGGGCATACTCGCAGTCGTAGTAGCAGTCGTACAGTACCAGCAGCAGTAGCGAGAAGCTGTAGTAACAGGAGCAGCATCCATGATGCACTATCGTGTTGGACTAACCATCACTCTTCACAATTTATATACACTTGACTTATGTGTACATGCCGTTTCATGCAAACTGAACTGTACGTAAGAATAGAACGCCGAGCAGGCTTTCGAGGGCTTGAAGCCCCTGGCGAGACATCGTTTGGTGAATGGCCTTTTCACGCGTGAGGCCAAAGCTGCGGGTTCAGTCGGGTCGTGTTGGAGTTGAAGGTGTTTGGTTTGGGGGGTGCAGGTGTGCATTCAGGTCAGTGGGGCTGTTTGCCGAGGTGGTGGTTGGTAGCCCTATTGTCGTAGATGACGACACCGCTTAGGCATAATCGCATCAACAGGCTCGTTTCTGACAGTCTCATACCGTCTCGCTGAGGAGCTGAACCCGAAACACCAGAAGCCTTAAACTGGTCCTCACGAGGATGGTTCCTTGAAGTTTCACTCCCTGCGCATCACAGCCAAGACCCCAGCCATGTGGGAGGAGGCCGTCGTGGGCCTTCGATTTCGGGTTTGGGGCTTTTGCTCCAGACACCCTTCAATGGAGGATCCCTTGATTCGGGAGCCATGGTATCTTCGTGTCGGGGGTGTTTGGCCCAGGTACGGCCCTTGGGCTGCCATTGTTTGGGTTTCGGGGATTACGAGCTGATCCTAAGGGTTTCGAGAGGCTTTTCAGTTGGGTCTGTCGGGTTCAGGCCTTAGGGTTGTTCGAGGACTTCCCAACCCTCTGAAACCAAAACCCCAAACCCTAAACACCATGGTATACACTTCACTTTCCCACAGCGCGCGCTAAATCCCAGCGCCCGTGATTTGCGGCTCGGAGGTATCACTTAACTAGCGGAACATCGCATTTCTCTCACTAAGGCATCAAGTTTCACAGGACAGGGTGCAACATGCTTTAGCCGCATGCACTTATCATCCTTCCAGCATTTCTTCAACAAGCAGGTCCGGCTCACAACCCCTTGAGAGTGGTAGGCTTTAGGGTTTAGGGTTTAGGGTTTAGGGTTTTAGGGTTTAGGGTTTAGGGCTGGGAGATGGAAGAAACCATCGGAGCCGCCACCGACGAAGGGACCAGGGATTCCGTGGAGGATCAGGAGGAGACGGAGGATCATGGGACTTGGTAAGTAAGGTTATAAGTCCCTTAATTGGGGTTATAAGTATAGTTACCCTAATTATAACCCTACTTACTAAGCCCCATGATCCTTTGAGGAGACAGCTGAGAGGATGCGTCGAGATCGGCAGCTCGAGCTTCTGACCCATTGGGTGTCAGAGCACAAGGTACGGGACTTTAGGAGCTCCTCCAAAGGGCCCCAAGTAATATAGTGGCCTAAATAATTACCTATGCTATTTTGGGGGTTCTATATATATATATATATATAAATAGGCATAGTCTCATGGGGCCCCAAAACCCTATTCTAATTATTAGGGCCCCTACATTAATGAGTCGAAGTGGTTCCCTTAGCCAGCCCATACCTGGCAACTCCTGATTGTGGAAGACTGTTCTGAAGGTGGTCCGCCCCGAGCTTGTGCGATCCATCTACACATATCAGGCATTGGACTTCTTTGGTAGTGCATTCCGGACTGGCAGCGTGCAGAAGCTTGACAAGTTGCACAAGAAAAGCAAGGCCACCAAACGCATAGATGAATTTTGGTCGCATTCCTGGCAAAAAAGACCTTACCAGAAGGTTTTGTGCTTGCTTTTCCTCAAGAACGGTTTCGCAGCCAGTTTGATCGGCACGCTGGTTGCCAGCATCGTCTACACCTTCATGCATGCTGGCATGCTGCTCATTCGCCTCGATGATGAAATCAATAGCAGAGGAGAACACCTTGGCTTGCCTTTCCTCTGCACTGCCTCTGGGATGGACACTGTAAGCTTGACAATCTTGATGGCTCCTTCACCCTTAACCCGAAACCCTACACCCTCGCCATGGTCCCTCAAACAGGTCAGCGGTACATGTTGTGAGGTTTGATGTTACCTATAGTCTCCATTGTAGTTCCTTTTTTTGGTTTAACCAAATATATATATATATATATATATTAACGAGTTTATAAGGTATCCCCAAAAAGGAACTACAATGGAGACTATAGGTAAGGTATAAATACATCTGGCAGGGTTCAACAGGTTCGGAGACTCAGCACAGGTCACCGGCACCCTCGTCGCAGTCTCAACGCTCTTCATCTGGCGCTCTCGCAGTAAAGTCTTTCTGGACGTATGCTGCATAGACCAGGTGAATGTTAAGAACAAGCAAGAAGGAATCGTGAGCTTGGGCGGCATATTGAACAGCTGCAAGACCTTGTTGATCCTTTGGGACGAAACGTACATTGAGAGGCTTTGGTGTGTGTCCCTCGGCTGCCTCTCCAGGCATCAGCTTTTCCTCTTTTCCTGCACAAGGGATCCAGCTATACTCGCAGGGCTGACCCAGATGCTTGTTTCTATGTTTTGATGTGGGAGTGACATCCAGGTTCGAGATTGCCGCTTTTGCGCACAGAAACATCAAACCCCGCACGGCTATCAAGCCAACCCTTCTGGGCAAGGTGCGAGACGAGAGCTTTCTTGAGAGATATTGGGAGTACTGGGAGGGGGGTGGGGTACCATTCGAGAGTATCTAGCGCTTTGCGGCCATGTGACCCTGAACCCTAAAACCTAAACGTTTGCGTCATCCCCTGGTTCGCAGGCTGCCCTGGCTGTCTACGCTGGGACTCCAGCAATGGCATTGCTCAATCTTGAAATGATGCATATAAAGTACCGATTGATCAGCTCCTATGTGCTGCTTGGTGCCTTTGTTGTAAGCTTCTACTGGGGCGTCGCTTCCTTCCGATCATACCACTACTCGATCGAGATCTTACGCAGGCAGCTGCAGAATTTTCGTTTACAAGACACAAAATGCAACTGCTGTACGCTGGGACATGTTGGTCATGACGGCAGGACCTTGCCTTGCGATCGTGAGGTTGTAGAGAGGTGCATTTGCAATTGGTTTGGCAGCGTGGAACAGTTTGAGCTCTTCATCGTGCCCCTGCTTCGCAGCACCCTCGAGAAAGAACTCGGGCAACATACTTTCCCCTACATCTACTTCCTGGTAGTGTTCTGTCCAGTCGTCTGGGCAGGGATGGATTTGACTGCGGGCCACCGCTGGGGTGGTTGGTGGATGTTCCAATTCACAGGCTACTGGTGCTTCGTAGGGAATAAGGGAATATGATCTTTACATAATCCTACATAACAATCGGCCCCCATTCCCTAGTAAACCCTACCTACAGTCTCCATTTAGTTCCTTTTCTTGGTTTAACCAATATATGTGAAGGATTTTATAAGGTATCCCCAAAAAAGGAACTACAATGGAGACTACAGGTAAACCCCAAACCCTACTAACAACCAGTAAGACAGGCTACTGGCTTGGTGTCATGCCTGCAACTGCGAAAGTGGGCCTCTACCTCTCCAGCTACTTCTGTAGGCCGGACATCCCACACTTGCTATGTGCGGTTGATTGAAAGCGCATAGGCTGCAGGTCGGGAGTTTTGAGACTTCTTTTGGGCGAGCTTCTCCGTTTGCTCGTGTTTTTCAAACTTCCTTCAAAACAGTGGCTGTTTGGCTCTTTTTGCAACCCTGCCTCGTGACCTTTCTCTCAGGGGAGCCCGCGGAGAGCACCTTTTTTGAGCTGCACAAGCTCCAAGCTGGCTCCAAGCCCTATAACTTGGCAGCAAAAGCTCCAGGTTGGTTCCAAAAGCCCCAAATTAACGCCAAAAGCACCAAAGTGGTGCCAAAAGTGACAAATCTAGGCTCTAAGCGGGAGGGAGGGTTCCACTACAGAGAATTTATTTGCCTGCAAACAGAGAGGTTTTGTCTTCTCAAGCTGACCGTTTGCAACAGCTTGCTTTTGGCAGTGACAGGATTTAGTTACTATTTATCCTGGGCATGAGGGTTTAGGCTTTAGGGTGTAGGATTTAGGGCTTAGGGCGGCTGCAAGCAGGTTGACTTGTTTGTATGTGATTGCTTCACACCCGAAGATCCAGCAGCATTCCCGGTCTTATTATTGGGGCACAGTTTTCCTATTACCATCATGTTTGCTAATTATTCTTATTGCTACTACTAGAATTACTATCATTACTAGCACTCTTACTACTGCCAAGATTACCATGGTCATTGTTCTTATTTCGATTAGAACTGCTGTTATTATTACTACTACGAATATCTATGTTTCCCCCAACCTGTAGCTCCGTCTCAGCTGGGAAGTTGCGAATGTTTCCAGATGCAGACCCGTCTGTGCAAAGAGAACACTCATGGTTGTGTCAGAAATTTGATGTGTGGGGATCTAGTGCAGGAGCAGAATGTGACTTCCGCTTCATTAGAGGAGCTTACCTCAATCTCGGCATAGTTGAAGTGCACACCCTCCACGACCTCATGTCTTGCGGCCCCTGGCATCGTAGCGTGAACAGAAGCTTACACCACATGCATACGCTCTACTACCGAAAGTTTCAGGTCGGCAAGCAAGTTTAGACATGGGAAGAAGGTGCCAAGCCGAATCCGTATGCCTATCTGGGCTCCCATCGGATGAATGCCATAGCCGTAGATAATACAGCAGATGCGCGGAGCCGAATTGTTTTAGCATTCAAGACTGCCTGACATCTCAATATAGTTTGAGACGAGGCTCAGACAATGATAGCCTGGCAGCCGCAAGTCTTCAGCGCGATAGTGTATTTTGCCGCATGCCACTCGTTCAACTACTATTGGCCGGACTAGTTCGTCGCTTGCCGGATGAAGATTCTCGGCAAATACAGACACAACAAGTGGTCAGGGATAAGGCGGAAGAACATGGAGCACAATAGCAACAAATCGATCAGATGGAAGGGATCAAATCCAACACTTCCTGGACACATCTTGAAGGCAAGTCACTATGCTTTGCTCAGACAAGTGATATTTCAAAATTGGTATCAAGGCCGCCAAGAAGTTTCCTCTGTGAGGAGTCGGAAGACCACGGCTCTGCAAAGCAGTCAAAGTCAACCCTTCTCCGGATAATTCAGGCAGAGCAGGACGTCAATCTTCTGGCTAGCCGCGCAAGCTTGCAGCACCCGAGTTCGCATGTGCTGCGCTACTTTAATGTGAGAGAGAGAGAGAGGCAAGGGGGGGAACCCTCCTGTTCCTAGCCCTGGCGAAAGAGAAGAGAAGAGAGAGAGAGAGAGAGAGAGAGAGAAAGAGAGAGAGAGCGGGAGAGAGAGCGAGCCGGAGAGGGAGCATCAAGAGGTCTGAAGCGATTTTGTTGATGCCCTGTGCAGGCCAAGACGATATAAAGTGTGTGACGTGCTGCTGAATCTTGTGATCGTCCTGGTGATGAACGCGTGTTTCATGGCAAGCCTCTATGCCGGCACTGTGTTGAATGCCAAAGGCCGCTGGATGAACCAGTACACCAAGGACATGAATCTCCGAGGATGCCTGTCTCTCGGCCTGGGACTTTCAATTCCTGCGGGCGGCCTTTTTTGTTTTAGAGTCTCGATGTGATTGCAGTCCATAAACCGGACCCGGAGCCTTCTTCAAGTATCCTAGGCTCTTCGTCACCTTCTGCCTTCCTGCTGCCATGCTGTTCGGCATGCCCGTGCTTGTTCGCTCTGTGCGCTCGCGTGTTGCCGGGACGGAACAGAACTCCGTCTAACCTCGGCAGCTGCAGACCTGGCTTACTGGTGGCTAGTAGGGAAAAGGGGAATACTTAAAGGACCATGGGACTTAGTAAGTAGGGTTATAATTAGGGTAACTATACTTATAACCCCAATTAAGGGACTTATAACCTTACTTACTAAGTCCCATGATCCTTTAAGTAGTAATATATTGTACAGGGACTATACAGGAATTAAACTCTTGTCTTCCCTACTGGTGGCTAGTAGGGAATATGGAAATAGTAATATATTGTACAGGGACTATACGGGGATTAAACTCCTCTATTCCCTACTAACCACCAGTAATACAGGAATCAAGGTCGGCATTTCGGCGTGTTGCTTGCTGCGTGTGTATGCTGGAGAAACACGGAAGCTGGCAAGTCAGCGTACTCAGAAGACAGGCCGTGAAGGCTTGATTCGTTATGGCCAGTGCTACCTGTTGCGTATCCCTCACATTTTAATGAAGCTTTCCGCGCTTCTGCGCACTTGTCTAAAGACAGACCATGAAACGCACACAACTTTTTGTTTGCACCTTTTTACTAGTTGATGCACACATTGATTTTGCCTTGGGTGCAGCTATCTGGGAAGACCAGAAGTCTGTGCCTCAACAATCTGTCATATCTGTGATTATAGGGGCCTTAATAATTACCTATACTAGTTTGGGGGTTCCTCATTATAAGAATAGTATAATATACCCCAAAACCCTATTCTAATTATTAAGGCCCTTGCATTACTTTGGCTTTGCTCGCGGTCCAGTGACATCCAGGGACTGTTGCGCTGAGTGATTTTCCGAAATCGGGCCACCCCTTTCTGTCACCGCTATTTACCTTGGTATAGTATAGCACCCTACACCCTAAACCCTAAACCCTAAACCCTAAACCGAAGCTTCCATGTTCTTTCCCATTAACAATGGAAAAAGGGGGTTCAGATCATTATGTAGCAGTGATACAGAGTGCTGAAGCCCCATGACGGCCCCTCAGCAGGATGAAACGCGCACACGCAAAGCTTGCAGGAGCTCTTGCATGGCGTAGCCATACCCACAGACTACAGCGCACAGCCGGTCGGCTAAGTGCCTGCTTGCCAGACTTTGTGAGAACAAGGAAACCTGCGGAGAGTTCCCTAGGGTTTAGGGATTCCCTTTGAAAGGTGCTCGAATGAAAGTTCGGTAGGTTTCCCAGGTTAGAAACCTTCCCTCACGCATTGTACAGGTTTCCGTGCCAAAGCCAAGCTTGCAGTCTTGGATTGGGGCACACCTGAGTGCATGGGATTGTTTTTGAGTCGTTGTGAAATTAGGGGAAGTTGCGTCCAATGGGAATCCAGAGTTTTTGAGCGACACACAATAAACGAAGACAGCCTTTTGTGGGGTGGTTTCTCCTCTGAGCCCTTTGTTGCAGACCTGCCCTTCACACTGAGGACATCACGCCCCATGGGAAAAGGGACCCCAAAGAGTCGGGATTCACGTTCGCAACCACTTGTAAAGTCGAGGTCTGCATGTTGTCAGAATGAAAGGGACATAGGTGAGTTCATGCAGCACTGCAGGGATCATTAGTGAGGGAGCTGTCTTCAAGTTGCAATGCGTGCCCTTGTTCTATGGCCAGGATCAATCGTCACTGTCAAGGCCGAAATGCACCGGCAAGGGTGATGGGAGGACGGCCACGAATGCCAGCAGCCTCTGAAGGAAAATGGGAGGGAGCGGGGGGGGGGGGGGGGGGGGAGTTGACTGCAACCTTCCGTGGATGAGCATGCAGGATGTATGCTTTCAAGAATAAGGTGACTACGATCCGAGTCAACATGATCGCAAAACCGCGGTTCCCTCTGGCTCAATCAGCTAAGCCCATGGTTTCTGCGGCTTTGCACGTCATCTCCGTTGTTATGTTGCAGGCGCTTTCGCGCCCAACCCATAACACCTACACGTTTACTTGATGACTATGCTAGCTAGTGTTGCTTTGCAGGATCGTGCATTGTCAGTGCGACTATTCTGTTATTTGTGCTGTCCATCTTCGTACAGCCGGAATGAGCCTGAAACCGTGGAATGCTCCAAGGCCCACAAAGTAAAGTGGTGAAGCCATGAGTCACGGGTAAGTCTAAACACCTCTCTTACCCACAGCCTCATTCACAAGCAAACATCATCCTCAGAACCTTCTGGGGTGCTTTAATGACTAGACAATGGCGACTTGTTTTTTTTCAGGACGGGGGGTTGACATGGCAAGCATATTTGGGCGATAAAAAACACTGAGAATGATTCAGACATCCTATGACGATGTTTAGGCACTTCCGGGGCCTCGTCTTGCTGATCTGCTGCATCTGAGGGTTTGAGCTACAGGCTGAGCTCACAGTCCTAGTAGCAGATGACAGGTTGTAGGGCGTGTCCACCACATGGCGACAGCGACGTTCTTGATGATGATGGCTGTGATGGTTATAGGTACGATGATGATCACAGCCATCACTAGCGCCACTAGAGCAATCGCTGTTGTTGTGATGATCGTTTCCCCTTCGTCCCCTTTGTGCTAGTGTTGCTACAATTAATCCTAGCTAGCCCAAACTCGGCATTCGAGACTCCGAGCCGCTCCGGCCATGGTGCTTTTGCGCAGGGCCCTGAGCTTTTGCCTCTTTGCCTCAGGCAATGTCGAGAGAGTTTTGCAATGGGAGGGCTTGTGGTGCTTGTTTAATAATCCAGCTAATCGTCAGCTGATACGTCCTCCTACCGTTCGCACCCACTGATTTTGACCCAAGCGTCCAAACTATGCCAGAATCCATGCGTCCGAGCGTTCTGCTGTTTGCTTAAACTGCAAATTCGGGACGCAAAGATACTGGTGCTTGACTCAGCATGGCAAGCAAGCACATGGACATTGCAAGGATAAAGAGATTCATCATTTAGACAGATCCTAGCTGACAATCACCTTTCACTTTGGCGATGCCCAACAATCTACGAAAGCCCCCTGCACTGGCTACAAGCCCTGAGAGCCCAAATCCTCTTGATCGAGAAATAGCTGAAATTAGTAAGGGTTCGATCGCATTTCCGAATTGAGATATATTTGGCGAGAAGCAAGTGTCGGATCGTAGTTCTTTGTCATGCACACCTGCAGAGGGAGCTGCTTATGCAGAGCCAAATGGGGCAGGATTTCTTTTGGGGTTTTTCAGGTAGTGCCGGCTGTGGAGTTGCCAGATGCTCAAAGAATATCGCCCAGCTTCGCAGCGGATGGGTGCCCTGAAAAATCCGCAGACGGCAACCAATCGACCTCGTGCACATCACAGCCCCGAAAGCCCAACTTCGACATGGGCCAGAGTGGCTGCCGAGACTACAATAACCAGGAGTGGTGCCTGTGCCAGCAGTGTAAGGACTTCGACCGAGAATTGACTCAGGGATGTAAAGATAGCAGCAGCGGATGTTGCTGCCGCCAGTGTGTGGTGAAAGATATGAAGCACCTTCATGTTTTCAGGTGTGATCGCTCCGGTGCAGACGGCAGCCAGTCTTTGCAGCCATCTGTTGCTTCACGCAAGCCCAAAGATATTCAGGCAGCAACTGACGGGCCTTGCGTGTCTGCTGTGGGAGTCCGGTGTGGCAACATCTTGGACCAGGTGCTTTTCCGCTTTGACAACGGTACCGTAACTGGTTACCGGACATCGGGGGGAGGAGCCGCCCAACACTGGAAGTTGCAGGATGGCGACTCCGTCTCAGAGGTGCGTATCCGACACAATCACTTCATACACCAAGTGCAGTTCGTGACGAGCAATGGCGCTGTATCTCGGGTGTTTGGCCGCGAATCCTGGCAGACTGACCATGTACCGCGGCCCCAGTACTGTGCTCCGGTTCAGGTATTGCGGGCACTTCCGGACTGTGAGATACTTAGAGGATCATGAGACTTAGTAAGTAAGATTACAAGTCCCTTAACTGGGGTTATAAGTATAGTTACCCTAATTATAACCCTACTTACTAAGTCCCATGATCCTTTAAGTAGTGGGCCTTGATAGCAGCCGAGCCCCCATAATGCGGCCAAGAAGAGGCATTCTTCCGCCTGAGAGGGTCTGTGTCAACTTCTGTCCTCGGCAATACTTGGAGGATCATGGGACTTAGTAAGTAAGGTTATAAGTCCCTTATAATTGGGGTTATAAGTATAGTTACCTTAATTATAACCCTATAACTTACTAAGTCCCATGATCCTTTAAGTACCTTTACTTGGACCAAAACGCGGGAGACTTCTACAACTACAGGCCCATGCACGGCAGGGAGAGCTGCCGTCTCAGTGACTTGGACATTCCAGTGGTGGTCTATACCAGTGACCTACAGTGGCTGCAGACCCAGCCTCTGGAGAAGAGCAAAAAGGACGATATCAGCAAACTCTTGCAAGTGGCGCCTGGCATTGTCTTTTGCGCGAAGCTTGCGGCGTCAACCTGCCTTGGCAAAATCTCAGCCGTCAGCGGGGCAATCCTGCAAGCCGTGGGCGAAAAGGCCTTGCTGCCAGGTCTTTTCAGCAGCCTTGGTGAGAAAGGCTTGAGAGGCTTGTACGACTGGCTCAAAGGGATGCTCAGCACTGCAAAAGCTGGCAGCATCATCAGTGGCATTGCAGGCGTCTTGATCGGCCATATTGCGGCACCTGTTTATGCTTTCCTGGGGATGCATCAAGCCGCTGTAGGCCCTCGGGGCTGCAGCTGTGGGAGGCGCAGCAGCGGCGTTGGCCGTTGGTCTGGCCGTGCCTGCAGTAATTGCAGGTATGGGGATTTCCGAAAATAGGGGACCCTAATATAGTGCCCTAAATAATAGGATCCCTATTATAAGGACCCCAAAATAAGGTACCCTAATTTTCTGAAACTCCCGTATCTTTCGGGTCTTTGGAGAGACGGCAACGGAGGTGGGAGCTCGGCACCGGGCTGAGGCACTGGAATTGTTTGAGTCCGTGAGCAGGCCCCTCAACCAACGTCTCAACGACCTCAGCGCCGACCAGCGCCCCCGTTGTCCTCAGGGTCACCGTTTGGTGGACATGGGAGCACCTACTGCCCATGCCGCAGTGCAGAATTGTCAGGGCAAGACGGGAAGTGCGCTGCAGGCTTCTCAGGTTGTACTCAGGAGCACTGGTTGTGGTCCTTCCGCTTCGTGCGCTGCCACTGTCCCTACTGCCAGATTGAATACTGCGAGCCTTGCATCTTGAAGCACTTGTCGGAGCGGAAAGCATTGCCACCGGCAGCTTCTATGGACATAGGGCGAGCTTCTTGTCACCGATCTCACCCTGTGTTGCCGGGGCTGTCTTTCCTTTTGACTGACAGTGCTGGGGGGTGGGTTAGCCGCATCACGAAGCTTTTCGTCTCTCGGGTGCATTTGCATTCCATGGGCCTCTGGGGAAGCGGTTCTCCCACCACTATAGCACCAACTGCAGTGCCACGTGCACTTGAGATCTCTTCCCCCTGTCTGATGCCGTGGCATGCTCTGAGCGTCACGTGTGCCACAGATCACCTGAGTCTGCTAAGCAGGAACAGCTGGGACCAAACATGACTGCCTATGCTCAAGTGGCGGCCAGCGGATAGGGTTTGCACAGGGGAGAAAAGCGTCTCTCTGGACGTGAAGCAGGAACCCACCAAAGAAGAACCGCTGTTTCAATAAGTTCTTTCACCAAACGGATGGTGGATGGGTCTCATCAGCTTCGCCAGTCTTGATGCCTGTCGGAGAGAGGACTGACGTTCAACTTACATGCGGTCCTGGGAAGGATTCCTAAACCCTTAAACAACCAAGCGAACCCTAGATCAGCATTACCCCCTGAAACCCCTCGCAACTCTGCTCACTCAGAGCACCTAATCCTGAAACCTCTTTCGACCAAAGATCCCAGAAGAGCTCTGGGGGGCTTTCGGGAGGAGATCCTCTTAGAAGAGTCCGCCCGTCAGGCCCAAGAGGGTTCGACCACACTGCTCGGAGTCTAGGATTGTACCAATGATACCCTAGACCCTAAACCTCAACCCTAAACCCAAACCCTAAAAAAACCCCTAAAGCCCTAAAGCCCTAAAGCCCTAAAGCCCTAAAGCCCAACCCGACACTCCAAGGCACCAGGCCGATTTGTGATTGCAGCCTCTGCTTCAGTCTTCCCAAGCGCACTACGGAAGAGCTCCTCGCGTTGCAGCAGCCGGAAAAGACAGAGAAGGCTAGAGCTGAGAGTTTACGGGTTTAGACATAAAAAATGCAATGTGGTATGTTTTAAGTGCATGACGGCAAGCATGGAGCTTAGGGTTTATAAGGGTGTTTAGTTTCAGGGTTTAGGGCTTTCCTAAACAGACTGACTGAGGGTTTCACAGGGTTTTGTCAGCGCTTGCCAGTTCAAGGGATGTTCATGTGGTTCTTGTTGTGGGCTTGAGCCGGGTTGCTTACATCAAAACGATGGGTTCGTTTTTAGGCACAATGCTATCTAGGGTTTCATTTTGGGGGTCCTTGTTTTTTCTGAAAACTTCCACATCGGAGTCCAGAGGGGCTCTCGCATCAGCTCCGAAGGCAAAGTTTGCGGTTCCTGGTCTAGCCCCTCATCCAAAAGGATGCTCGACTTTCTGGCTTGCAGGGTTTTCGAGTTTTGTTGCTAGACTGCAAGCCGGCGGTTTCTGTGTTGAAAGCGTTAGATTGCGCATGTGCGCACGAGAAACCCCAAAAGGACCTTGCAAGAGAGATGCGAGTGGATGCCTTGAAGTTGGGAAGCAAAAGGCAAAGTATTTGAGCCCGGCAAGCGTTGACATCACTGTGCATGACAGCTCAAGGAGAATGGAGCATGGAGATGGATCTGAAGGGGTCGGAAGTTCAGGAGCAGTAGGACTAGTGACTGGATCCTCGAATGTCTCTGCTCCCATGATCTGTCTGAAGATGTTGGATCTGTTCCTCCGAGACAGAAGACACGAGCTTGTTGCCGTAGCTGTTGAACGTCCGAAGTACGCCATGCAGCCCACCGTTCCAATTCCAAAGCCGCAGTGGCGCCTGCCTGGCATGTTGAGAGGAGTTGCTCAGGGGTCATTTCACAAGTGTGACCCTTCTTTTGAATTTGCCATGCCTCCTCAGCGTCACCGTCAGCAACGGTAGCATCATCTTTATAGTCACCATCAACATCGCCACGTTTCAGTCATTATCGTCATCATCGCCATTTGGCTAGCAGCGCCAGCGGCAATGGCAGCAGCAGAAGCAACACCACCGGACCGCCGCCACCATCTCCTTCGTCTCCGCCGCCACCGCAACCGGCACCCCCCACACCACCACTCCATCATCATCATCTTCTTCTTCGTCTTCATCTTCATCACCATCCTCATCACCATCTTCCTCATATCCTCATCATCACCTTCATCATCATCGTCAGGCGATAGCTGGCAACTACAGTATCTTTGTTGGTGTGTGTGTGTGTGCGCATGTATGATGTGTGTGTATATATATACATACATATATTTATGTTCACGGTCATCTTCATCATCACAGTTACTAGCATGGGCATACTCGTCACCATCTTCACCACCACAATCTTCTTCCTCCTCGTAGTCATGATAACTTGATGGTCACCAATTGCTACTGGTCATATTCCGTTTCACATCTGCTGTAGGACGTCAGGAATCACGGAGAACGACCAAACATCAACAACGACAAACTCTTCAGCATTCCCACCACTCTGCCTCCTGCTCCTCCTCCTCCTCCGGCCTCCTGCCACTCCTCCCGCAATTGCTCCTCCTACTACTACGACGATCACCACAGCGAGTATTGCGACTGTTGCTACGACTGCAGCTAGACGACTCAACGTATACAGCTAGCTGTCGCAACGCCAGGCACGTGGTAGTGGTGCATACACCATGCAGCAGCAAAGACTGTTATGGCACAGCTGCGGAGCCCAAAATTTGCTTCTTATCATTTGTGGTCACAGCGTAGCAGTGGGCACCGGGTTCGGGTTCAGTGAAGTTCTCTCAGCTTCACTCCAAGTTGCAACGCTCCAGCAGGCAGGCTGCTCATTCTGGACGACGAGCCTCTGCCTCAGACAGCATGGGAACTCATCAGACTATCTTTAGCCTGAAGATCACAGAGGTGCCGCGTTTGGCGTGAAGTCACCTCCAAGTGGCTCCGGTTGGAGGACACACCCCAAAAGGCTGATAGTGGGGTTCCGCTTGCAGAGAGGAGGTGGAGCAGACCGAAATGGGAGATTGGCTCGGCTTAACTACTACGATGCTTTGCAGCTGCCGTCAACGAACACCATGTCAGCAGTCTGCACTACTTTCATCCCGTCCAACAAAACCAAGTCCCAGCCTGAACCGCTATCCCTAAACCCAAACAAAGACCTATAAGTAAGCCCTAAGCCCAAGTCCTTGAAGTGGAGGGGGTTTCCCAAACCAACCAGAAACCCCAACAGCTTTTCAAACCTCCGGGGGCTGAAGGTTTAGGGTTACTGTAGTGAGCGTTGTCTGGAACTTCGGTCTTCGAGCTTAGAGGGTGTGGGAAGGAGATGTTTTTCAGATCGAGGTGCATCTAGAGGTTAGGCTTTAGGGCCAATATGACATAGAGTTGCTGGTAGTGGCCTGGAGTCGTTGCCAACCTCGTTGAGCCCGATGCCCTGAGTGTTTGCGAACCCCGAGCCCGAAAATGGTGCGGACAGTTGTCACGGTTTTTGGTTTCACCAGTTGAGGGCCTCACCGGCCAGGGTGAAGGGCGCATTTCAACTCTAATCGAAAACCTAAAGCCCAAGACCTAAATCCTAAAGTCTGAAACCTGCATCCTCAACCCTAAAGCCCAAGCTCTGCAACTTTCACTTTAAGACATGAAACCTAAAACCGGAGCCTTAAAACGTGGTGCCTTCATGTTTCTTGTGCATTTTCTGCAGTTATTCGGTGTTGTTGTGCTGCAACGTCCTAAGGCCCATCCAGCTTGACAGAACTTATTACGGAAAATGTGCATGACGCTGAAAGCAAACATTTCTTCTCGCGTTGGTTCCACCTCATGGTCTGGAATTCCGTCCTCCATACTTGTCCGCAGAGTGAACAGTTTTGGCGCTCAGCCCAGAAACAGCAATTGTTTTTGACAACGATGTCTTTACAGCTCCTTGCAGATGTGCTCTGGACAGCAATGCACTGCGAATTCGGACACATCGCTCGAAGATTCAAAGATTGCAAGGCTGATGTATCGGAGTTTACAGTGGATCCTGATTTCCAGGGAACGCCGGGAGCCGCGTTACGGGGAAGCTACCGGAAGCCTTGCCGGAAGAAAATGGACAATCAGTTACAAAAACAATATCTTGGCAACCGTAAACCAGACACTCCAAAACACAACAACTTAAAGACTTAAAGTCCCAAAACCCTAAACCCTAAACCCTGCAAAGCTCAAACCATAAAGCCTACACCGACCGACGGGAGGGTTCGACTGAGAAGGACGAAGCTCGAGGGCGACTGCTGCGCGCAGCTTCGGCCCCGGTGCCCTTCCGGAAGAAGGAGGACCTCTGCGCAATCAATGTGGGATTAGGGTTTATGGGTTAGGGTTTAGGGTTTAGGGTTCATGGTTTATGGTTGTGGGTTTAGGGTTTATGGTTAAGGGTTTAGGGTTCAGGGTTTATGTTTAAGGGTTTACGGGTTAGGGTTCATGGTTTAGGGTTTAGGGTTTAGGGATCAATGCGTGTCAAGTATCGTCGGCAGCATCTGGATGGTTTAGGATGCATCAGCAGCAGACGCGCCGGTATCGAAGTGAACATTGCCTTTTCCGGTGGGAGCGTTTCATTGGGCAAGCAGCTGCTTGACGGGGCCGTAATGGAGGATTGGACTTCAGGGTGCTGCCGGGGTATCCTTTGTCTTCGAGGTTTCAGGAGCCTCAGGGTTGTCTGCAGCTTGACTGACTTCGCATCTGGACTTTGGGAGCTTTCAGTGTTTGGCAGGGCTTTCGTGACTTCGGGCTACGGATGCTATGGTCCACCGGA